AAGCCAAGCCAAGCCAAGCCAAGCCAAGCCATTTCTCCTCTTCCAGGCACTTGGGAGGTTTTTCTTCTCCGCCGCGTCACCTCTGCCGGTCGGGGCTCGGTGCCCCCTCGAGGGGCTTTGCACACTCGGAGCACGGGGACGTGCCCGCGCTGCGGGGATCAGCGGCGCCGGAGTCTTCCTCCGAGCTCTTCCCGCATTTTGAGCGCTCTCCGGTTCTCCGTCCTCTGTGTCCCCGCTGGTGGACGATGAGGCTGGATTTCCTGGTGAACCTCTTCCCGCACTCGGCGCAGGGGTAGGGCTTCTCGCCGGTGTGGGTCCGCTGGTGGGCGATGAGGTCCGAGCTCTGCCCGAAGCTCTTCCCGCACTCGTGGCACTTGTAGGGCTTCTCCCCCGAATGCCACTTCTGGTGTTTAACGAGGCTGGATTTATTGCAGAAGAACTTCCCGCACTGGGAGCACTGGTAGGGCTTCTCGCCCGTGTGGAAGCGCTGGTGGGTGATGAGGTCCCCGCTCTGCCCGAAGCTCTTCCCGCACTCGCTGCACTCGTAGGGCTTCTCCCCCGTGTGCAGCCGCTCGTGCCTGAAGAGCCCGTACCTCCCCCGGAAGGACTTTTCACACTGGGAGCACTGGTAGGGCTTCTCCTCCGTGTGCGTTCGCTGATGGATGGTGAGCTCCGACCTCCGGGCGAAGGTTTTCCCGCACTCGTGGCAGGCGAAGGGCTTCTCCCCCGTGTGCACGATCTGGTGGGTGAAGAGGTTGGACCGTTGGCTGAACCTCTTCCCGCACTCGGGGCACTCGAAGGGCTTCTCCCCCGTGTGCGTCCGCTGGTGGACGACGATGTCCGAGCTGCGGGTGAACCTCTTCCCGCACTCGTGGCACTGGTAGGGCTTCTCCCCGGTGTGCACCCTCTCGTGCCTGATGAGGGTGGACCTGTCCTTGAAGAACTTCTCGCACGTGGAGCACTGGTAGGGCTTTTCCGCCATGTGGCTTTTCTGGTGGGAGCTCAGCTCGGAGCTCTTCCCAAACTCCTCTCCGCACTCTTGGCACCTGAAAGTCTTTCCTCCCCCGTGCAACCTCTGGTGGCAAATCAGCTCCGACCTGTCCTGGAAGCATTTCTGGCAGTGGGAACATTCGTAGGGACTTTCCTCTGCGAGGAGCTGCCGCTCCCCCGGGGTGAGCTCGTCCTCCTGCTCCGTCCCTGGGCATCCCGCCGTCCCCCGGTTGCTCTCCCGAGCTCCCCCATGGCTCTTCCCTTCGGATTTTACCGCCACCTCACCCGCTGCGGCTCCACCGGGACATCCCGGCGCCACGCGGCGTCCTTCATCCTCCCTCCGCATCCCGTCTCCTGCAGGGTTAGGTGGAGACGGGAGTTACCTTCTGCCCCAGGAGGGGACGGTACCCGGCGCGCCGGCGACTTCCCGGGGGCCGGCGAGGAGTCGTGGGGTGGAGGGCAGC